GAATTAAATTATTTCATCCCCTCTCGTCTACGCAGTGTTTGAACGTGTCACCGAGCTGGATGGCAGGTTTAGGGTGGAGTGCAACAGAAAAGGCACTGGCTCCTGAAAAGTGCGAGGTAAGCTCGCAGAACTCCAGGCTCTTGAAAAGCTGCAAAATGTTTGATAATATTACATTCTATATTAGTCTGCACAGGGCCAGTGAAAAAACAAGTTATTTATTTTTGACATGAATAACCACAGAAAGCAGTTTGGTTTCACTAAAATATAAGATTTGGGATTTTTCCCCTCAAATGTTTTGAGTTTTCCCCGATTTCTAACGCAGGACCACATGGGTTTGACCCGATCTTGCGCACTTTCTCTCCTTTACTCCTTATTGTGTTTCCTGTGGTTTACTTTCGCTTGTGACTCAAAAAGGGGTCCTGATGTAATAAAGAAGCAATTGGAGGTCATCTCTCCATTGAAGGTTATCTCGATATTTAACAGCAACAATATGCGTAACAATAGTCACCAGATGATTTTACTGATACGATTCGGAATATTGGAAACCTGATACTAGCGTCCCTAGAGTGCTTTGCTTTTTGCACAGTTAACTGCAGCAATATTTCGGTTCAGCTTTTTCCTATGGCTGCGATGTCTTGTCCCATTCTGTAATGTTTTGTTATTCTTAGTATTACTAGTATATATTATCAGTCATCATTAATCCACAGTGATCATTTTAAACCGAAACAAGCATACGACATTTTACTATTTGAGGTTTGGTAAACTAGTGTTTAGGCTAGGTTTAAGGTAATCTTTAAATTATATTGATTAAAAGATCATTTCGTACAAAGATACACTGCAGTGCAGGTTAATCAAAAAGATTTTAATCAGTTAAGTCGTGTTAACAACACAAAACCATTTTCTTTTTCAGTCATTTGTATGTTGCTTTTCAACCCACTTTTGAAACTCAGTATTAGAAGTTGTGATAGTTCTGTACTGCATTGGGTGTGGGCTACATGAAAATACAATAAATAATCTGTGCAACATATGTAATTTAATTAAATGAAAGGATAGATTGGTTTCTCAAATATTGTAAACCTTGTCAGTTTAGTTCCAAGAAAATGCGCTTTCTGAGTAGTTATTTAAAATATTTATTTTTAAATTATAACTGTAGATTATGATAAACATTATGATTAATAATAATTTAGAGTGTTTCGACATTTTAATTTAAATGTAAAACCTTTTTATACATGAATAAGGGACCTTCTTAATTCTGCCTATTGCATATTCATTGGTTATTCGCTGAGACTAATCTAGTCCACTGTGTTCAACAGGGCTACATTTATTTTTAGAGGTAGAATGTAATATTGGCAGCAAAGTAGTTCCTTACTGTTATGACTAAAGACAGACCTTTTTATAAGGTTATGAGGACTGTAGGGGAAATGTCAAGGAAAATCACTAGAAGCTAAATCATCTGCATTTGTAGTATTAAACTGCTCAGGGATATCTCCATAATTGTGTGTAATCTGGTAACTGTTCTATTTTATTCAAATGAATTTCCCTTTCAAAGAAATTAGGGGGAACCCTTGGACAAAATATGTAGCATACTTATCTGTAATAATTCTTCAGTCAGAGATACAGTATGCACCATATAGCCATATATGTATTTTCTAACCATCCACCTTCTTTTGAGAAACAAGCTTTATGGATTTCTATTTCAGGAATTGGTTCTGAGACATCATCTTCCTCGCTGTGGGCATTGCAAAGGTAAGTGTGTTCCTAATATTTGTGTGAAAATATGCACAGAGCAAATTAGTCGCACTATGAGATATGAGATATGATTGATGCGTAACTTGAAAACACTTTTTTAGTATTGTGGTTGGTTTGGGACTTGAGTGTCAAACAATATTAACATTACTGTAGTTCAAATTAAATAATATTAGGAACATTAGAGAAGCATTTAAAAATAATCTAACAATTTAAGCTGTGTTTTGAATGGCTATGCTTTGACTTTGATTTTATAACAAAACTATAACAAAACAGTTTTTACTGTTCTTACTTTTGGATCTTTTTTTTCATTTCCTTTGCTCACTTCAATGAGAAAATGAAAAGAAAGAAAATTATACAAAGTAAGAATCAAAAACATAAGTAGATTTAATTTACAAAAATACAAGATTCTAACTCCTGAAACAAACCCGTTGAGCTTACATTAAAGGGGGGTGAACTAGTTTTTATTTCAATTCACATTGCTTTGCTTGATCATCACATCTTGAGGTGATGTGATCAGGGGTTTAACAGAATGAAGAAAAATATCTTACCATTAAATCAGAGTTACAGTTCCTGATGTTTCACACCCCTCTCTTAAGGTCCTGAACTATTGTTGTTGTTTGGTTTAAATAAGAACAGCATATCAGTACAATACACTTATTGAATGCATATATTGAAAATAGTAGTTAATATAATCTTCATTTTCATGTTTTTTCTTACCTACTTTTTGCATATCATCCTTTTAATGTTGTGTTTAGGTTTGAATTTGTTTTATAATTCAATATTAAAATCATTGCACACTGCCTGTTCTACCACAGCTATCTTAAAAAGTCCAGCAAGCCTAGCAAAACCCAAAGCCTCAAAACAGGGCTCTGGTGACAACACATAGAGTTGCCCAAGGTCCAGACCTCCAGTCTTGTAACAGGAGCCGGTCCAGGCTCCCGTGAAGCGTAGTTCTGGACCCTATGCAGACAGTATAATCCGGAAGTAAGTGAAAAAGGACAACGGGGAGGAGACGACGAGGATCAGGGGGGGGATGCCAATAGGAGGCCTATGCCATCAAGCCAAAGATGTAGGGCGACTTGATGGTAGGCGGGCCTCCAGGTGTCCGTTTTCCAAAGCAGAGGCCTGAGCTTCAGAGGCACGAGGTTTAAATAATATACGAGGAACAAGGGGCAGGTGAATGTAATAATGAAACTAAAATACAAAAAGGGTTGGAGCGCCCTCTAGAGGAGGGATGACGATCATGACAATGTCTCTGGACTTTGCGAGGAAAACCGTACAAACACAAAGAAACCATCCAAACTCTATGCATATAGCATGCCAGGAATTGGGCCCAGGGCCCCAGCACTGCCAGTTTGAATGCTAATCACTGTGTCATCATGCCACAAGCCTGCCTACATTTTAGGTAACCTTAATTCAGTTATTGAAGCAATTTTGAATTCCTTCTTTGTTTTCTATGAATTGTTCATTAAATGTTTTTTTTTGTTCATTGTGTTCAATAAAAAGTGTTAATTGATGACATTTCCCAGAATAAATAAATACCACAAAATAAAATTGATCTTTCAGGGACTAATGTTAATTTAGATTACGCCAAAACTCTTCAAGCATTTTAACTGTACAGGGTGATCGATGTTTTATTTTAAAAGTGCATCTTTTCTTGTATCAAGCAGTAGATTTGGCCAGTGAAAACAAGAAAGGAGGTGCAAAATTAATGAAGACACATTTCTCCTTCTACTCTTCATCCTCTGAAGATGAGGATGAAGATCTTGTGACAGAGAAAACAAGTGAGAAGGAAGAATATGTAGAGGAATGGCCTTCATTACGCAAGAATGAAGGTAACAAAATGTCTTTTATTTTATTAAAAAAAGCTTATAAATAAATAAAAATGAGCACCCAATACTATATTAAAAAATGAATCCAAGTCCAAAAAAAGCATTTTGGTAAAACATTTTCAGGAAAAAATGTTTTAAAAAAAGCCTAGATCTAGACTTCCATTTGCTTTGAAGTTAGAAATAGAAAATAGAGTCAAAATAGAGTTAGTTTAAGTTATGTCTGTCATTCAGTATAACACAAATATAAGAGAGAGAAGCTTATAAAGAGGCAGGAAAAGTGGTTCAGAAATATAAACTATATCTTGTCTGAAGAGAATCTGTAAACGCATAGTGAAATATTATATTCAAATTACAAAGTGTATTGTGGTAGTTTCTTAAACACAAGGAACTACTGGGATAGCAAGGCACTATTTATAGAAATGGTTGACAGGTCTTTAAATTGCGATTTCAGTACATGTCTTGCAAATAAATTGTTTCTGATTAATTTTAATCTAGGAAGGCTCTGCTTGGTCTTTGTAACAAATGCTGTCTTCATGGGATGACTGATCTTAAGCTTCAGACCAGTCTAAACCACGATTCTCTCTATATAAATATGTACAGTGTGATTATTCATAGTCAAATACTTTTTTCTGTTTTTTCCTCATTTATGTTTTTTTTTTTTCTTGTAGTCAAATAGGCTGTTTGTAAGTTATTTTTTAAGTTTGGATTGCAGCAGTGCTGCATATCAGGGTCGATGAAAAGTGAAAACTTTAAAATAGCACTGTGTGCAGGTGTTATTGTAGAATTCGTTTGACCATGACCATTTAAGGCAGCTGTTCTGGTTTGGTGTTGGTTCACTGGCTGTGGTTTTCCATAGGTGTGATTGTTTCAGGCGATGCAGATTAATTGCTACTTTTGTCTCTGTTTTACTGACTTTCTTAATCTACATGTCAGTGTTATCACCTCACCTGAACAGCAATAAAGCTTTTCTCTTGCAGCCTCCTCCAGTGCTGTACGCCTGCCTAGAACAACGCAGGTGGTGTTTGACTTTCAGTCTGGGAAAGTCATACCTCGGCTCCGAGAGCCGCGCCGTCTTTACGGGGTGACCGGACCAGGACCTCATTCTCTCTCCCGCTGGCCTCAGGAATGTGAGGTCATTCCAGAGGAAATACATCACATCGGTGAGCCGCCTCGTGAACGTCTTTTAGCCTCTTCTTGTCCTGGAAAAGCGTCTCCCAAGGAAAGCAAGGCTGGACCTGGTCAGTACTGGGGTGGGAGACCAACTGGGAAATTAGGGTTCTTGCTGCAGGCGGGGTTTGTGATCCAGCAGGTGACACCCTTCCCCTGGACCAGAATTTACAAACCAGTGTCCGGTCTGGTGACCTGAGACACTGTGCTGTAGGAGGTACCACCCTGCAGATGAAACGTTGAGCCTAGATCATTATATATTCTGTGGCACTTTTATGAAAGAGTAACTGTGTTCCTCTTTGTAAATTCCACTCTGGGCCTGTAAAATCTTGTATTTACTGAATTTACTTCATAATTGACTTGGTGAACAAGTTATCACTTCTTCTTGGTTGCAACATCTTGGTTTTGCTCCATTTTGCTGTGCAGTATAATGGGCCTGCAGGTGCATAATCGGTACAGCACCTCAATGGTGGATGAGGTTGGTGTCCTATATGTGAACCACTTTGGAATCCTTTGGGCTGAAAAAGGCTATATAAGTATAAAGAATGGTAGTAGTAGTAGCAGTAGTAGTGGTTGATGCTGTATAAACACTTCTATAACCTCATTACCTGTCTCAGAGTGGGCACCACCAGTCCCTGAACCCTTATGTGTACCAGGAAATCCAAAGGAAGTGGTGCAAATGGCCGAGGAAGAGGGCACACTGGTCTATACAGCAGATGAAGGTATTTATTTCATGACTTAACTGATTCAGGCATGGCTATGTCAACTGAAATCAGAATTGTCAGATTGGCAACAGATGAGAAAATGCCTGTCGGGGTCCATCTAGTGACATGACCAGTACTAGTTAACTGAGGAGAACCCCCCCACTCCCTGTTGGCCGGTATCATGTTGGCCATATGAGATCTTAGTTTGCTAAACTAGGGGAGTAAGACAGACCTGACTGTGTGATTACCATTATTATGTGATAGGATACAAAATAAAACATCACTTCTGAAGGAAACCTGCAATGACTTTGAAACCCTTATTGTTAAACTCCAGTGAAATCCTTGAGTTTAAGGTCAGTTTTTTCTGTTTCCACAGCAAGCAAGGAGCCTTGTTTTTCACGATCCCGGGCTGGCGGTAGCCGTACTCCTTTGAAGGTGGCTGCTGTGATTCTCTCGGGGCCGGCTGACACTACCTTGGTGTTTGAGGCTCGCTTTGAGAGTGGCAACCTGCTGAGGGCTGTCAAAGTGTGAGCGCGGCCTTACTTTGAGCACCAGCTTTCACATCATGCAGCTCTACAAAGCACACTAGGGCCCACTTTCCACAATTCCTACAATATAAAGACATGTGTGAAAATAGCTTGCCAAGAGTTCATTCCACATTTTTTCCTTGCTACATTGGATTACCAAGTTTGATATACTGTATTTCCCCATTAATTACAGACTGTATGATTGAAATGGACTTAAAACTCATGGTTAATCCTCTGATCAGGCTATCCATTGATCTTTTCCCCTTTATAAATATAATTTCAGAAAGTTGCCAGAGTGTATAAAATCTGAAAGTCAATCTCAGCATCCATGTCTGACAGCAGTGAACTGTATTGTAGCAGGCTAAACCACTTATCAATGCTAAAGCAATAATACCTGAATTTATATTGGTATCATTTTGCCAAGTAGCCAATATCAGTAACTAGTACAATATCAGTAAATAATTTAGGTAACAACTGGGAAATGTTAATTTATTGGACAAAGAAGAGGAATCATTTCTTAATACAAAATTGCTGTGGTTGTCTAGAATATGCTTCTTGCTCCCTTTCAACTTTTCTTCTGTTCTTAAACATTAGCCAGCAAATGTGTTGTGGAAAGTGTCTTACCTGTCTTTTAAAACACAATTAAAAAGGACCTGATCAAAGCTTGAGGTGGTCTGGTTACAGTAATGGTGAGTACACTGTAATTGCATTGAGAAGAAAAGTCATATGTAAAGCCATAACGTACAACTTTACGTTTACTTCTCCTTACTGTTTCCTCTAGTGTTATAGATCTTTGAGCATTTCTGTAACATTTTCACAACATATGTGTAAGTAATTAACATATACATCATTTTCTTTTTTTCTAGAGGCGAATGTGATTATGAACTCACCCTCAGAACCGACCTTTATACTGAGAAGCATACACAGTGGTTCTACTTCCGAGTCAGTAATACAATGGCAGGTGTCCGTTATCGGTTCACAATTACCAATCTCCTGAAGGCTACCAGTCTGTACAAAAAAGGACAGCGCCCCCTGCTATACTCCGAGAAAGAAGCACAGAAGCAAAGGGTGGGCTGGCACCGTATTGGAGAAGAGGTGTCCTACTACCGCAATGGGAGACAGCAATCACTTCATCCCTGCTACTCACTGAGTTGGACTTTCTCGTTCCCCCATGATAGAGATACTTGTTACTTTGCGCACTGCTACCCCTACACCTACTCCAACCTACGAACATATCTCTCCGAGATTGAGCAGGATCCTGTGCGTTCCCAGTTCTGTAAAATAAGGATGCTGTGTCGCTCACTGGCTGGTAACCTGGTCCCAGTGCTTACTGTAACAAATCCAGCCACGAGGGAACAGGAAGGAGTTAGGAAGCCAGCAATAGTGGTGACTGCTCGCATTCATCCTGGAGAGACCAATAGTTCTTGGGTGATGAAGGGCATCCTTGATTTTCTTCTGGGGAACTCTGAAGATGCTGCACTTCTGAGAGACACTTTTGTCTTTAAACTGGTGCCGATGTTAAACCCTGATGGGGTTATTGTTGGTAACTACCGATGCTCCTTGACAGGCCGGGACTTGAATCGCAACTACAGGTCCATCTTGAGAGATTTCTTCCCCACATTGTGGGCTACCAAGAACATGATACAGCGGTAAATACAGTGACTCCATTTCCTTATTGAAGTATTCAAGACAGTAAGAGGCTTATAAAACGGTAACTTTCATTTGAACATGAACAGATCCCTGTGTGTCCAACTTTTAACTGTACAGCATGCCAGGGTGTGTATGTTTGAACTCAAAAGGCATTTTGAGTTTTAAATTAAGGATATCAAGAGAGCTTCATTTCAGTGCTGTTGAAGCTATGTCATGCATTTACAGTGCCCTGCAAAAGTAGTCTACATTTTTTGCTACATGCTACATTTTTTGCAAATCTGCTCAATATGAAGACCTCTAAGAATATGATACTGTATATTACAGTAAATGCCAGCAAAAAATAATAAAAAAATAGTTTGACTGTATAAGTATTCAGACCAATGATCACAATATTTGGTTGATATTTGGGTAAGCCAACTTTGCAGGCTGGCTGGGTGCAAATTTTGTCTATTTCTCTTGGCACATTTACTCAAGCTCTCTCATATTGTTTTGGGACTGGATCACTTATGGACAGGAATTTTAAAGTCTTTCCATCAATTCTCATTAAAATTCATAAGACCATAAGAAAGGTTACAGAGGAGGTTATTCTGCTCATTGGTGGTTAGCAGATAATTGATCCACTAACTCCTGTCCCTTTCTTGTAAGAAGACAGAGTGTTGGTTTCAACAGCATGGCTGGGTTGCTGAAACCCTTTGGGTAAAGCAACGGGTGCAAGGCATAACACACCCTGGAAGCACACACAGACACAAACACATTTTCTCAGAAGCCAATTAACTGTCCAGTATATATTTGTACGCTGGGTGGAAACCAGAGCACCTGGAGGAAATCCCTGTAAACACAGGAAGAACATACAAACCCCACACAGATAGCACCCCAGGAATTGAACCTAGGAACCTAGCGCTGAGAGACAGCAATCACTTTCTTATTCCTAAACAACTCCAGTGCAAATGTGGGTTCTTGTCCTGCTGAAAGGTGCACTTCTGCCTCAATTTTAGGGTGAAGCAGATTTTCTTCTAAGATTTTGCATTACTTTTCCTGATGAAAAGCAGAAGTATAACATAATACAGCCACCGCCATGCTAGACAGTTGGTTTGGTGTTGGCTGTGTGCTGCACTTTGTTGGGTGTCATGATGAAGTTCCAATTTTGTGATTTGAGAAGGTTTTGTGTTTCATACAAGCCCCCTTTGTGAAGTGACTAAGATATTGTTGACTTATGGATTTTTTCTTCCATCTCAGCCACTAAACACTTTCAAATTCGCCATGCCCCTCATGTGACATGTGTATCTTCCTGTACCAGCTGCTCAGTTTGGGGGAATAGCTGGATCTTGGTAGTGTCTGGGTACCATCCACTTCTTGATAATGGACTTCACCAAGCTCAAAGGAATATTAAGGGTCTTTGAAGTGGATCCCTTAGTTGTTTTGAAAGTTTATTGATTTTCAAGATTGAATCTACAGGTATGCTTGAAATACAGTACCTGACTGACTGTTTCTTTGCTGTTAATGTGTGGAGCTGGTTGTGTATATAACAAATCTTAAATATACCACAACAGCAAGCTTTAAAGCACCAAAATATGAAAACTACAAGGTTGCCTTTTGCAAGGCACTCGACATTTAAAACTTGGAGACCTGTTTATAAAATCATTCTGGTGAAGTGCTCTTTAAGAAACGTTTCGCTTTGAAAAGGTTTTCTTGTATAAACAGGTTTTTACATTGGAATTATTATTGAATTGAGGAACAAAGACAAAAAACTGTGTTGCTTAAGATTGTGTTTTATTATGTGAAATAATTTTAGTGGGCTATATAAGCTTGCAATTCCAAGTGTAATGTAATGAGTTTCATTACTTTTGTCACATGAGCAAACCCTTTGCAAAAAATTAAACTACTGTAGGTTGCAAGGCACGTATTTTCTCCTTGTCAATGTCTAACGTGGGCTGCTTCTATTAGCTCATAGCAGAGATCACTAACCAATTTCTCCATCATGACAGACATATCACAACATGTACACTCCATCCTGCTCCTTACGTACGATATTAGTGTATATCAGGTACTGCAGACACAACCAGAAAGGGTATGCCAAATGCTCTGTAATTGTAGGCACCAGCACGCTAAACTACAAAACAAATAACCAAAGTGGTACACAATTCTATAATTTAAAAGCAATTTTCAAATTGTTTATGAAATGAAAGTGTCATTTCTGCTATCTCTGTTGTCTCGTCACTGCAGTCACAAAGGAAAATGAGTTTTATCTATAAATGAGTCAGTTTTATCAGTAATAGTCTGGATGCAATTTTTTAAGGATATTTCAAGAAACTGAAATATATGGATCTGGTTAATACTAGTCTTATTAAAATTAATCAGATGGAATCTGGATGAGCACCATGAGCTAAAAGATCCTGAGATGTTCTTTTCTGGCTCTTGTCTGCTTCCCATTCTCTTCCAGGCTTTGTGAGGAGCGCAAGGTGCTGCTGTACTGTGATCTACACGGGCACAGCCGCAAACACAATGCCTTCATCTATGGCTGTGAGAGAACACGCTTCCCCGAAAAACAACAACATGAGCGAATCTTCCCTCTCATGTTGAGCAAGAATTGTCCCAACATGGTACCTGTAATTCAAACAGAACATCTGTAAAGCACTAATTAGACAAACACTTTCTAATTTAAAAAACTAATTCTGTTTAACCCATCTTAAAAGACGCAACAATGACGATAGCATAGAAACGATTCTGTTCCATGTGAACTAGTGACAAGGAGTGAAATATATTGCAAAGTCATTTGCTTTCTCATTGATTTAATTTTTATACTGTCTGACTAATTTATCAGGTTGGGTGACACAGGGGTCAAGCCTTTGGCTTCATGAGTGACAAGTTGTGGGTTCAGGTCCCTGCTGCAGACACTGCTGTTTAATGCTTGAGTAGGGTACTGTACCCTTGCTTCAGTCCACGACCTGTATCAGTGAGGACCAATGTTGCTGAGTGATAATGCCAGAAATGACTAGTGACTAATCTGGTGGAGAGTCGTATACTCTCTATTTCACTTAACACTACAGAACCAGGATGAGCTCTGGTCCTGTGAGCTTCTGGTATGGACTTTATGTTTTTAGTATAGTTTAGTATTTTTAGTACAGGAAGCATATGTAAATGTGACCAGGAAATCTGATTCTCAGTATCTTTCTTGCAGGACGGTAATATAACGAAACATTCAGGACTAGTCATTCACCTTCTTCTTCTTTTGTTCATTAACACTAAATAAACTGGGAAGATATTAAATGTAGTTAATTTAATAATTCGAAATGTTAATATCAACCCTTTAATGACATTCCATTTCATTCAGGTGACAAAATTCTTTCCACTTTTTTAACTACAATGTAATGAACTTCCTTTAAATGCATACCAAGATTACACAATCATTAGATATTATTCGTTTTGAAAGAACCTATATAGTTGAATGTTTTGTTAATTGATAGACACTCATTTGATCAATTAGGTCTAAAATCATCTTGTACTTTGATGTAGGTTGTAGGAGCTATTTTACTCTATGCTTTAGCTACAGTATGTGTTTGAATAACAGCCTCCGGAGGCAAAGAAGGATGAATATATCTTACTTGCAAAGATATATACTGTATATAATTTAAAATTTCAAACTGAAAATGGATCATTTTGTACAGTACAATTTGCTGTTACACAGTGACATTCAGGATTAGATTCTGTTTAAACAGGCTTAAAAGAGTAGTCAGACCATATTCAGGGACAATTGACACAAACAGCACTGACTTTTTAAGGTCAGAATTCCTCTGTTCTCTCAGAAACTATTGAACAAAGCTGTATATTATTTTTAATTTTAAAAAAAGATGCTTTCTCAAGTTTGGACCCTTAACATTACAATTAAAAAACTTTACGGAGAAGCTCAGGAAGAAAGAAATAATATTGATTTGTATTTCACTGTCATCCCTGTATGCTGCTGAATATGTCTTGGGTGAAATAGTATATTTCTGTCTTTTGATTATTTACAATAAATGGTAAAATAATAGGCTGTGTTTAATTTTTGTTTGGATTGTAATGTAATAATACTGTTAAACGTGTGCGTAGTGTTTCATTGTAATTCCTTTGCTTGAGGCAGGTCCTCGTGTCTTAGTTCTCCTTTCAGAGCTGCAAGTTCAAAGTGCAGCGCAAGAAGGAAGGAACAGGCCGTGTTGCCCTATGGAGAATGGGGGTCCCTAACAGCTTCACTTTGGAGACCTCCTTCTGTGGTTCTGACATGGGTAGGTCATGCAGAGGAGACTTCATGGAATTAACCTTAAGTTGACTTTGTTAATTAACATAGAAGTTGTATCCAGTATCTGTAGTATTTATCAAGCATAGGTTGACAGGTAGGTGCCACTTGTACATAACACTGAATGTACATACTGTACATAAAGCATTTATAGCTGGACGTTCAACTCACCTTGAGTTTTAATATTAGTACTTGAAGTTGTGTAGAAATGCAAACCTGCAATCAACATAATGGCAGTTTAGTGAAAATACCCCCTTAGTTTATTTGCAATCTAAGGTCTGAGAATGATTTGCATGAAAAAATGTATCTTAACCAACTTAAACAGCATTAGTAGGTCTACAAGCAGTTATTGTTACCCTTTTGTGCATGATGCATTAAAAAAACAGCAGTATTTTCTATTGAATCTTTTATCTTTTTTTACATAGTAGAGCTTAATAAATGCATATTGGAGAAGACAGAGTGATGCCATGGTCATCAATAAGTTAAAATGTTCCTATTGGTAGCTATAATGATCCGTCCATTAGGATTTCAGACATTTCAGGAAATTGGATTGTGAATCGCAACTATTATTTGATTTATAAATATTTAATTTAAATAATCTGAATTATAGTACTCTGGATTACAAGAGAGTTTAAGATGACACAACAGCTGTTAATTGTGCAATTTAAATGTTTAATCCTTCTTAAATTTCTAAAAGATTTCATCAATGAAACAAATTGGAAACGTCTGGATTAAAGGAAATCCTAAATGACCACCACTGAATGAAATAGGTGATGACATTATTTAGTGTCTATTGGGATACCTAAATGAAAGAAAATTATATGATTCCAAGGAGTAGTTTTTATTTAGCAGAAATGTGCTACATTTTTATCTGTTCCCTGGAGAGAAAGTGTTAGCTAGCTTGGTTTGTGAATTTCAGGTGACAGGAAGGGAACCCATTTCAGCATATCTGACCTGGAGGCACTTGGGTTTCAATTCTGTGACACACTGCTGGATTACTATGATCCTGACAGGACCAAGGTATGAGGGCACAATTTGCTACCTCGTGTAAACATGATCTTGCTCTCTGGATTCTTTCTTGCACATGTGAGCATGATATTTAAATTTTAAAAACAGTAACCCATTGGATTTACACTGTTAACATGTGGGATATATTGATGGAAATGCTTAATATTTTTGTGTTGCAGAGTTATACCTGGAGAGATAAAAGTATTGGTATATACAGTACATGGACAGACAAAAAAAAATGTTAACATGGAGACATTTATGATGAGAATAATTTAATAAAATTCTTAAATCTTAGAATGTCAATGTCTGTCTTTTTCTTATGTTTGGTGCATAGAACTCTTGTCATACTCTGTGAATAATTTTAATATAAACAACAATGACTGTTCTAATTTACAGATAATAAGATATTAACTCATTACTAAAATGTGAAACACTGTCCATCTGTCATTAACATGTTTAACACCAGTAAATGTGAAACCCACTGTATTTAATTAACATGTCAATGAACAGCGTAAGAAACAGAACACACAAAGATATAAAGCAAGTCTGGAGCTTGTAGATAAAATAACTATTTAATTAGACCAACTATTTATTCTCAGATGTACTGGTATACAGAGATACACATATTTAAGTAGAGACATGTTGAATTTCCTAGAGATTAATGGACTGTAGTTCTAAAACACTAAGAGCCTTCTCTCCTTCTGCAGTACATGCTTTGCCTCAGAGAGCTACAGGACATGATGAAACTTGAAGCCTTACTGCTTGTTGACATGCTGAACAGGCATGGAGAGTCAAAGATCTCTCTCAGTGACCATGAAGGCAGGTAAGTCTAATGTGTTAGATATATTAATCACAAAACAACATGTAAGTGACAGTTTTATTATGTCTTACAAATGTATAATACAAAATATAATATAATATATATATATTCTTCTGAATTCTTTCAAAACATGCAGTGTGAAAATTGATTTCACATTAATTCACATTAAGAAATCCCTTGTAGTTGATTATTAAGATTATTGACATTTTTTAAATTTAAAGATGTTTTTAATCTGTTTAGTTTTAGTTATATTTAGCCACAAAGCATTTAGCATATAGTACTGACTTCCACTTTGCTTGATCATATGTGTTCCTAATTGTATTTTATGTTGAAGTGGCATAATGTACTGGATTTAAAGCCTTCCTAATCAGAAATATGGAAGCATCTTCATATAAATATGAAGATGACAAAATAAAACTTTTCATAAAACTGTACCTTGTGCAGTTTCTGAGATGAGGAGTAATTCCATTTTTTTCTTGTATTCATTCAGTATTAGTGGCTCAAACAGTTCAGATTCCAATGAACCACCTGCTCACCTCCATGACTTTGCCAGCAAGGTAGGAGACCTCCTGCCTTGCACTTCAGTGAGATTTCTGTAATATGAACTTGATAGGATGCTTGCTTGTACAGTAGAACTTAAAAGTGCTATTGTGGCTTCTACTTTGCATGGAAACGCTCTCTTGCTTTCCAGCACAATGAGGCCACATTAACACTTCAGCACTTGCTAACTGCACAGCAACAGATGTAACAATTCTCTGTCACGATAGTGTACGGTAAAGCAGTCCCTGATGCCTTTATGCACATACTGTACAGTCCCAATTGTGTTGTCATAGTTCCAAAAAGTCTTATGATGTCTTTGTGGCTGCCGGAATACAAAACATGATAAAAGGATGCAGGGATATCCTTGAGCTCCCTGTCCAATAAGCTGCATTTCAGCAAGGCTTGGATGGCAAATCTGCCTTCTACATTTCTCCCCTGTTTACTCAGGTGCAGTCCACACAAGCACCAGATGTTGGGTGTTGCCACCATATCTAGAAGGGGATGTTGATAATGACATAGTGCAGTATTTCATGTTACAAAACATCAGTTGAAGCCCCTTTTAAGATTTTACAGGAGGGAGAAATGATCTGTTCCACTGAGGAGTTTGATTAAACACTTGAAAGAAAATCTCAACACTGGAGATAATAAAAAGTAATGCAGAAGTTATACAGAAGGATATATTGTATATCTAATATTATGGTTTTGTGTATATTAACAGTGTTAACCTGTGTTAATAATATATAACAAAATCTCTGTTTTTTTAGATTCGAATTTCTGTGTATTTTTTCAGGCATTTTTGTTCACTTGTGAGCACCCTTTTCTGTTTCCTTACAGCTTAAGCCATGTAAAAAGTACTTGAAGTCAAAGAAAGAGAGGAACAAATCTAGCCTTTTCAGATTCAAAGATGAAAACTTAAAAAGAGCTGCAAGAGAACCTAAAGAGGTGAGAGAACCATATCACCTGCTCTTTACATCCTCTTTATTTCAGACAGATACAGTACAGACATTGAAATCGATATTAGCACATACTTTCATGTGGTATCTTGTGGCCAGATGCTTTTAGATACTTGTCTGATGGTCCAGACTGTCTGTCTGGAGTCTGCATGGTGTTCCTGTGTTTTCATCGGTTCTTCCCAGGTGCTCTAAACCCCTCCTGCTTCTCAAAGATATGCAGGTTAGGTTTGATCTACTCTGCATGGTTCCTGTGGGGTTTATCAACTTGGGGAAGATGGTACTTACTAACCAATCATAAGTGAAGTGGCTTTGGTGCCAGTATCCATTATGGTCAGCTTTGTGTGTCATGGGACCATTCAAACAAGTTTTTTTTATTTTTAATATATGACAACTAAATTCCATCCATTTTCAATAGCCGCATATTGCAATGTATGGACACAGTGAACTAGAGCAATCAGACAGTGGGAGCAAGGCAAGATACACCCTTAATGGGAAGCCAGTCAAGGATACATACATGGGGGACAATGTCAGATGCCAAGTAACTTTAACTGCATGCTCCAGGATGTCACAGGAACCCAAAGCACCCAAATAGAACCCTAGCCTAGAAGGAACCCCTGACAAAAATCAGGCCTTGATCTGATTCTTGAGGCAAGAGCTGTGAAGCAGCAGTGCTAACCACCACCATCAGGATACTGTAAAAGAAAGTATCCAATTGCTAGTTCAAACTCCAGCATGAAAACATCTCTTATTCTTTTAGATGGAGAATATCAGAGAGTTTCTTGAAAAAAACAAATCTGGATTCAAACCTGTGAGTGTAACCTCTGTCTTCTTTTTAGAAGAATGGTAGAGATCAGTGTAACTTAACGTTGCACCTTTGGGTTCAGTGATAGTACACAATCTATAGCAGGGATTATCTGGGGAAAAATATATCTATAAAACTGATGGAAACACATTGATTAGCAAACCCAACATTCTAAACCCCCCAAAATTAAACTTGCCTCAGTGGGCAACCTGATTTTTTAGAAAGCTACATTTTGCTTATAGCTTATAGTGACCCCAGCTGTACCCAGAAGAGAGCTAAGCAAGTGGAGAAATGGGCAACTGAAAGTGTCTGAACACAACTCCCCAAACAAAAAGGTAATCACTTAAATCTCACCCTTTCCTGTCTGCTTCCTTCCCTTAGAAGACTTAGCAGTGGTGACATGAAGGCCTAGGTTTGAATTAAGTTTTGGATATGAGCTCAGAAAACACGATGATCTCAGCTGTAAATCTATTTATTGTACATAGCACTTAGTCACATTAAATTTAATGTAGAACATTACAAATCTAATATATTATGATGATTATTAGTCAGGTTATACCACAGTGCATATGAGTCATACTTGCTGCATGATTTTCATATGATTACTTAGAGTGCATGAATGTGTGAAATACTGTCACTGATTTTATTATTCTTGTATTCCAAATTCTTCGCTGTATTAATCTTAACAGTGGCTTGTTCAAGCAAAAAAACAAAATAAAAAAGGGAAAGCAGTTCCTTCGTTTATCAATTAGTAAATGGTAGTACTTGCAGTGGTGTATTTTTTAGCCGAGTTTCATTATACGTGTTCGTCAGTAAGATTTTTCACAGCCACTGTTTTCTACCAGGTCCTTTTATTTTGATCCTTCCTGTAATGTTTGATTCACATTAGTCAGTTGACCCCATCTTGTGGATAGTGGTTGTATTGCATCTCAAGGTACTGTGTATTTCTGTTTTGAATGTGTTCAGAATTGCTACCGTCTGTTCTATTCATAGCCCAGTCGCAGTGTGTATGTAAATACCTGTGCATATACGATTGTTAAGCAGACTGGTTTCTTGATTGGTTTTCTTGTTTTAACAACCTATATTTTATGGATTTTATGTTCATGTTTTCACTGTTATGCACTTTTATTTTGAAATACAATTTTATATCTGCTTTGTATATATTTGTCTGTACCCTTCTTGACTGATGAAGAAGATTGTCACCATATACAGAATATATAGATTTGATGATAAATTCAATGGATTGTTTCCTTGTTAATTCTAAACTGGAATCCATTGCTTCCTCCCTTCATGGACTGGAATGACTATCCCTCTTTCCCGGCATGAAGATGTCCGTCCTTTACCTCGTGTTTGACTCTAAAAGGAGTGTCATCACTTCAAAGGTATTACCTGCTTACATTGCACAGCAGATCAAAGCTGCTGTTTCTTTCAGGCTTCATGCAGAACACTTGGTCTCAAATGTTTTACATTATTTGGACTTGTGCCCTTATACGCCTGTGGTGTAAAATCCTTATAAATGTGACCGGCAACAGCTTTACATTTTTTAAACATAAATGTTCTCACACACATAGCAATCCCTGTCAAACCCAGGGATCAAACCCTCTTTTTTATCTATACATATCTATACAATCTCTACGTTCACGATAAATGTGATATAATAATATGAAAAAGTCTGCAAGCAAGAGAATGTTATTGGGCCCTGTCTAACCCAATATTTGGTTTTAAGTGGCTTAACAATATCAGGATCCAGGTGTCTCCTGAAAGAAACAATATTATCTACTTGAACAACACGACAGTATAGCTTATTATAGACTCGACTCAACCATCTGTGTTAAATAGAGCCTCTTGTTACTGTTTTAAATATACTTTCCCCTAGTTTCCATTTCTCTCCTCTGGTTTGTGTTTCATTGTGTGTTGATTAAGAAGAAATCCATTGGGTTGGCCTTGTCACAATCTTTGAGGATTTTGAATAGTTGAATCAGGTCCCTCGTAGTCGTCTCTCTTCATGA